GTGGCTGTGAATTATTGGCAGTGACATGTGTCTGGGTAACACATCCTGTAGAGAAAATAGGTAGGAAATGAGTGTTTCAATTAAGTAGATGTGTTTTCCTTTTTGTCAGCACAAAGAGCCGGGGGGGATGAAAAACCCATTAAAGTGCGTCTGAAATGCGGAGTGACTATATTTCACCCCGCTGGCTGTTCTGACAATATTCTCTCAGGGCTGTTGATTTGAATAGTGTGAATATTTATGCTCAGAGGTGTTTGCCTGTTCTTAATGTCTGCACTCTTTAAGCAGACAAAGAGGACAGTTATTGTCTGCTGTAAGTGGTCGTATATTAACGGAGGCATGTCCTGCCAGAAGAAGCATTAAGGTCTCCTCATTATTTAATCATTCACTGCTTCACACTGTGGGCTTGTCAGGAGGCTGGACACACAGGGTTAGTTGTATGTTGTATGTGCAATGTAAACTCAACCCACACAGTGTCCGTTTATCAAATAAACTGCTCTATGATTAATGCTAATAGCTCACATCCAGGTGATGTCATTGTAACCATCAACACAGTCCTCAGAATGCTTTTTTTCCATGAATCACTAGATGATACAGTCTGACGATGTAACATTTGCCGAACAGCAAACACTATGGCCACAAGTGACAATTAGAAGATGATGGTAAATGCAAAAACATTGCACATTTTGCTCAGATTAGCTAACATTAGCCAACATAAGATACTGGTCATACCAGACCAAGAAAGTTTTTATCAGCAAAACAAAGTGCATTGAATTCAGGAAGTGTATTTTTGTTTGAATGTCCATACCCAAGTCATTCACAAAAATACAGAACAAAATAGGTCCCAGAATAGAACTATGAGGGACACCTTTATTAACGGTAGTAAAAAGGTCATCCATGCAAAGGGCCACCCCTTTGCATGGATGCACTGAGTTCACTCTGCATAATCATTTCTGAACCATTGTTCCTTATTTTTTCCATCATGTCTCATTTATTTTATTATTATATATTTTATTATTTTTATTCTACCTCACTTCTACATTATTTTAATTGTCTGCTTTTATTTTGTTTCATTGCCTCCTGAAATGTTTATAATTCTGGTACCTGCCATGTAAGGCACTTTGTAACTTTGTTTTGAAAAGTGTTGTATAAATAAATATTATATCATTTCTACTTTTCATTTGTAAGAGGCAGAATGTGTTTTTCTCCTCTCAAAAGTTACATAGTCTCACTTTGATGTAATATAAAGCTGTGATTGATTTTATAGTTGTGATTTTTAAATTCTACAAACAAACTTTTATATAATTGCACTTTATTTGGGTTAAGCAGTGCAGGGCAGAGGTTTGGTTTCAGAAGCTTAAAAGCTCAGAAATATAAGATATCACAATCCATGTCAAGTCTACAGTTTGGTAACTAAGTAGTGGAACCTTTTTTGTGGAAAGAACATATCAGAATACAAATCATTGTTTACAGCATTTATTTTTATTCGTCTCAAAACAAAAATCTTTAATATTCCCCCCAAAAATTCTAATAAATTATTGCTAATAAGATGACAATAGGAGTGTACCATATCATATCATTCATCAAAGTAAAACTCTTAGCGTAATAGAAAATGTGTCATATCAAGATATTTGCGGTATTGTGGTGCGTGATGTATCTACGCTGTGACTATAGCAGCACATATAAACAAATTTAACATTACTGCTGACCCTGATGTTCAGTTGTTGATAACACAAAAATCAAAAATGAGTAGAGATGCATTCTTACCCCCGTTTACACCTGGCATTTAAATGCGACCTGTGTCAGGGTATGGTATCTGGATAAGGAGAAACATGTCAATGACAAGTGTAAATGCTCGCGGAACACATTGGGATTGGATTGTGGTCGGACCACATTTGGAAGAGGCCAGGCTGCATTGTGATTGGATAACAATAGGGGATTGTGTGTCATTTTTTGTGTGTGTGGGGGGTTTTTTACCTTTACTTTAGGAATATTCCCATTGAGATTCCACATTTCTTTAAAAAGGGAGTCCTGGCCAAGACAGAAGCATAAATCTTCAGACAAAAACAAAAAAAACAATAAGATTAAAACAAACCCTAAAACATTAAAACAAACAGCACTAAAATTTCACATAAAAATAAAACAAGCAACAGCAAGTAGTAATTGATGCATGATTGATGGATTGTGACATGCATGTTGCACCGTTGCAAAAATATAAAAGATTCCGAGTTTTGAAGTTGGGAACAGTAAGGGTCAGTTTGCCCATTTGGTAATCCATCCTCTGTACTGTCATGACAGATGACGAACATAGATACAACATAGATACTCTCATCTATGCATTGAACTACATTGTTTCTTTATTACCAAACCTGTACAACACACATGGGCTGCATTGCTGAAATCCTAGAGCATGTGCTTGTGTAAAAGTGATGCCTTCTCTTCCCCTGGGAAACATTCGCTCCCAATTGTTTACACTAGAACAGGTGTGGACGGCTTTAATAAAGATGAGCACTGACTCTGACTGTGACCAAGGGATATTAAAATATCTCTTGACCTTGCAAACAGGGATTACAATGCAAGTCTGCCACAGCGGGAGGCGACTGCACGCAGCATGCCCCACGATCCTCTCCACTCAATGAGCTGAGGCAGAATTTATGGCCCTGCAGACAGCCCCGCGCTGTATGTGCTGCGGATTACGGGATACACAAATGGTGATGCGTGGGTGTCAGGAGAGGTGCTAGACGCTGGTGTTTCAGGTTTCAAGGTTCAAGTTGGAATTCTGCAGCTTTCTCAATGTAAATGAATAACATCTTCCCAGGGGGCATATACAGGAAATACTGAAGGCCCCCCAAGTCACCGCTGGATCATAAACACCTTCATGTTTGCTCTCTTATTCCCACTCTGTCTCTTTGTCTGTCTCTGAGGAGCAATAGCATCACCCTCAAGATGACTGCATTGCTGTAATTTCTCCCAGGATCCTGTCACAAACCTGGCATCCACCATCACATGTCAATACTTGGCTCTGTCCATTAATCGAACCAAGCGCCATTCTTTTATGAGACACAACAAGGCTTGGTGAGCAAGCAAACAGACTCTGCAAAGGGCTGAGTCAAATGTAATTTGCTGTTGATCCCCACACCATCATTGGATGTTTTCTATGACGAGGCAAATTGAGAAAAATGCAGAGTTGGGAAGTTAATTCTGTAAAATGACTGATTATCTAACTGCCTGTCAAATCAAACCTACCAAAATGCTGCTGGTGATAACTAATCCATTGTGCTCTGCATGTAGAAGTTAACTTTCTATGCAATGTGAAAGGGGTCACTTACTTACTAACCCTAACCCTTATACAGGGGTGGCATAAAGTATGTATCTCATTCCCAATTTATACAATTCCAATACTGTTTATGGACCCCAGTATGCAGAAATATTTAAATAACCTATCTATACCACATGTAAAAAGCTGGATGGTTTTTGACTGTAAAGGGGAGACATGAACACATTTTCATTCAGATATCTTGAGGTCAGAGGTCATGGGATAACTTGAAAATGGTTATGTCAGTTTTTCCATCACCAAAATGTAGCGTAATGTTCCCAACATGCTAGCACAGCAATGGATGTGTTAGGTCATCTAGTTTCATATGATACCAGTATCTTCCCTCTTCACTCAGCTTTAAAATGGACTCCACTACAGCCTCTGAAAAACTGTGTGGAGTGGAATATATAAGGGTAATGGGGTGGCCATTTCCCCCCCAGGCCCCCCCTCTGGAAACGCCCCTGGTCACTTATAGCAACAGCCCCCCAGAGAATTCTGCCCTTACCTTTTTTCCCTTCTACAGAACTTTGCAAGGTTTTTCAACTTACTGTTTTGGTTTTTATAATCCACAAATGTAGTGTTTTCACAGAAATGTTGCTCCACTATCAGCAGATGAATGTAAAAACATCCTTCTAGTGTCTGCACAGACATCATTCAAACAGCACACTGTAAGAACAAGAAGAAACACTGATTTCTGACTGTAGGGAAGCTAATAATTACTTATTACATTACTTCACAATAGATACTTCTTGTAACACTTGATACGAAATATATCTTCAGTTTAAGTTATGGTTTCTGAGTATATTGCTACTTTCAATATAGTGCTGCTGTAGCTTGTTCCAATCAGGAATAGCCTGTAGCTTTACTAGCTACAATTTCAAAGTAGTTTCAACACGGGTGGCAAATAGCTGGTTAACACAGCTGCTTTCAGTCCTATCCAGTCACACACACACACATTTAGATACGATAGTTTATGAACATAGTGGAGCATTATCAGCTAAAGAGCCAGATATTTCCCTCTGGGGTTGGTGGAGACCAAAAACAGAGCTAAAGGGAGAGAGAATATTGGACATACATTCATCAGGTGAACATAAACATGACTCCAAATGAATGATAATGCTCCTTTATAAGGTGACAGTGTTTAAAGTCTGTGCTGCCTGCACAGAGGGCAGAAAATGAACAAATGCAGCTTTACAGCTGCACAGGTAGTGCCGAAACATGGTAATCTCCTGCTGGAATTTCACTGTTTGCTCTTTACCTCAGACTGTGTTGACTCTTCTCCACATTGGAGTTAGATTTATTTGAACAGACTGATAGAAGCTTCTAAGACTCCATTTCCATGATTCAAAATCAGAAACCTGTGTGATTAGATGACATAATCATCCAACATGGATTAATTGTTGATAAAATCCTGGTTTTCAAAGAAAAAAAACTCATTCTACAATTTGGTCACAAGAGCATAAAGGCAAACATAATATGTGAATTAATATTGAATCCTTCTAAAAAGTTAAAAAGTATTTATATATTCTTCTGTTAATAAAGCTGGTACTTGTTACAGGACATTTGGTTAGTATTACTTTGACTCTGTAGCATCTGCCATTTAGTTTATCATCTAGTTTAGCACAACCAAGATCAACCTGTTCTGTGAAGTGTATGTAGAAACACCAAACACATAGCACACAGAAAAATGTGTAAAACTGTCAGGTGGGTGAAGTCATGTCCATTGTTTGAGTAAGACATGGGTTCATCAGCAACACACACACACACACACACACACACACACATACAAATACACATGCACAACATACCAGGGTTGGACTTTTCTGGGTTCATTTTTATTATTATTTCTGAAATGCTGCAGGTAGTGTATGTAATTCTGATGTTGTAGCAAGTGACCTTTATTTTTTAGAACAAAAAACTGCATCACTCCCCCCAGTCTTTATTCTGTAATCCCTAAACATATGGAAACTACATGGAATTAAACTAGCAGGTTACCTATTGTGCAGTAGCTTGCTGGTAAAAGTCATATTTATATATATATATATACCTACTGAAACTAGTTTTTGTGCCCTGAAGAGATTTTAGATTGGAAATTCTTTATTTGGAATAACCCTTTAAGATGTACCATCATTCATTTTGTTTAGGACACGATAAAATCTCAGGGTTGTTCCAGGAAGCTGGATTGCACTTATATATATTTTTTATGAAATATATCATAATATTTGGTTATAGTTTTTATGTTTTGAATCTGAATTTGTTATTTGCATTTACTGGCATGTGGCTTTTTTGTATTATATTTTGTTATCATTTCATATCACATGTACATGGTCAATTTCATACTTTTTCAGAAAGTAGTTTGAACTACTAGCTAGCAGTTAGTAACCAAACTGGATTTCTCCCGGGTAGCTTTGCTGAAGTTCAAATTCTTCCAGTGTGAAGTAATTGGTAGCTTGCAAAGCTTCCCCAACACTGTCTGTCCTAGCCCACATACAATGTTCCTCAAAAACATACAGAATACTGCTTATACCTCTACAAATGCTCCTCAGATATTTCATTATTATAGTAATGGTAGTTCTTATTATTTCTTAATAGAAGAAAATCTGAGGGCCAACCAATAGGAAAATGACTAGAAGCAGTTGTGATTATTCATTTTTCCTTTTTAAAGTCAAGCTAGTTAGAGTTATCCAGACTACAACAAGAAGTTAATTGGTTTTACCTTCAAAATAAGAGCAGTGTTTTCAATAGTAGTTCATGATTGGTAATACTGCTTAAGGGGCTATTTATTGTGAAAATAAAGTCATAATATTATGAGGGGAAGTCATAATATTATGAGAAAAAAGATATAATGTTACAAGAATAAAGTCATAATATTGCAAAAATAAAGTTGTAATATTACGGGAAAAAAGTCATATTATTGCGAGAATAAAGTCATAATATTATGAGAATAAAGTAGTAATTTTATGAGAACTGTCAGCCTGTTGGCTCAGCCAGCAAAACTGTTTAACGACGAAATTATCAATACGTTAGCTTACCTGTTGACTCATTTAGGTAAGATGATACCAACGCTGCTCTGGGCTCAGGTGGAGGCTGCTGAGTCATTGGTTGGAGCTGGTCATGCCGATCTTGATACTCTTCCGAAGCTTTATAAAAACTTTCTTGTATTAATATTACATTATTCTCGTATTATTACGACTTTTTTCTCGTAATATTGCGACTTTATTCTCGTAGACCTAATATTATAACTTATTCTTGTAATATTATGACTTTATTCTCTTAATTTCTCCAAAAAATAAATTAATATATAGAGAAAACTTCAGCAATATAAAAAGTTATTTTATATTATTTATATTATACTTTTTTATTATGTATTATAGATACCTACTGCAGCTTTAATGTGTTGATATTAAACATGTGTTTTTATATTTTGATATGGACTGAGTTATTTGAATACTTTCTATAATTTACATACATTTCAAGTCTGAGATACTGCAATAATTCAAACTGTCTGACTTTCACTGTTGCATTGTTCTCATAATGGCTTCCTTTCTCTTTAATTGATCTGTTGTCTTCAGCTTCAGTCCTATTGTACTGTGACTACACTTTTAAGCTGCTTTTGTTCTTTATTTGCATTGACATTATAAGTGAATCCAGATGTCTAGCTCAAACACTTTCCATATCAGTTATGAAACAACACATATATGACAAATTTCCAGCTAATAATACAGTTTTATTTAAGCTAATGGCCAAAGATTCAGGATTCAATCAACCTTGAAGTAGTCTATAAAGAAATGATTATAAACACTATACTAACAACATTACAGTTATACTCTAATATATTCCAGAGGCTATTTATTCATTTTTTTTACTCCACTGCTTTTATTTGTCAGCTATGGTTTTACATATAAAACAAATATAATACACAAAGGTGCATGAAAGTCACTCTACCTACAACATTAAAATACAGATTTTATGTTAGGGCATCAGTAATAATATACCAATAATATAATGTATGATATAACATGCAAATTGCACAAAATCATGACTTTTACCTTGACTTTATCCCTGATCATATTTCTTCAGTAAGTTCTACAAGTTGTTGTATTGCTATTTTTACTTAAGTAAAAGATGTGAATACTTTTCCCACCACTGTTTGATTTATTTATTTATTTTTATTTATTTATTTATTTTATTTTTTTTTACTTACATACAATGGTTTCACACAGGTTTTGATTTGGAAAGACGAAACCGGAAGTGTCGTTTTCTCCAGCTCACTTGCTTCCAACCACGTGACCAGTGGGAGTGTGCGGTTGGTTGCCTGTCACCAGGTCAAATCTGGATCCATTGAGAAGTTTTGGTTTTTGTATCCAATGTTTCATTTAAAAAACATCCGTGAATTAACATGTTTGTTTGTTACCGTTTGTATTTTGACGAGCCACTCGTCGGCAGACGACCAGGACTTTATGGAGGACTTCTTGAAGCGGGAATATTCTCTGGCGAAGCCTTACCGGGGTAAGTTTACTGTCAGCTGGCGGTTACGTTAACACAGATGTTAGCTAACAAGTGTAAAGGGGATAAACTTTACTTAATGTTAACCAACAATAGCAACTCGTCCTAATTTAAATTTGCATTTCGCTCATTTTAGCCAGCTTTTGGCTAGCTACTGCTGTATTAGCTGCTGAGTATAATAATTAACTAAGAAGAACTCTGTACCCCTCAGGCACTGGTGTTACGGGAAATGATAGCTACTATTAGCCCACAACGGGTAGCTTGTCACTAATGTTGTCTAATAAAGACTAGCTTACAACGTAACGTTAACTATGTTAACTGTTTCCTGTCAGCGAGGAGAAAGTTAACGTTAGCTCTAACGTGTGCAGCTCTCATGGGGAGCATATTACGTTCAATAATAAAAATAAACGTTATACTATAAGTCTTATAAGGTTGTTGATTTCATGCTCCTTACACCCCCGTTATAACTTACCACTCAGTATTAATTACAGCAAAATGGCAACCGCCATTAGCCTTTGCCACCATCAAGTTGTTAGAGACGATTAAACACACATATTGTTTTTTGTGGCGGATCCTTCATATGCCGAATTTACCACAATGGCCTGAGGTTTAAACAAAGGTCTGCTTTTGGAGTTTAAATTGATGTGTATTTTGCCAGTCATAAAAATTTAATTAAATTTAGAGATTTTTGAGGGCGGTTTGGACAATAAGTCAATATGTAATATGTGTATATATATATGGCTGTGGACACTGTAGCTAACTGTATTAACTGTATTGCTGTTTTCCAGGGCTGGGTTTCTCTAGTTCTTCACAGTGGGATCTGATGGGTACTGCCATGGTTACACCTGATCATGTGAGGCTGACCCCAGACCTGCAGAGCAGACAGGGAGCGGTGTGGAGTCGAATTGTAAGTCTTATGTAAAGTCTAATGCAACAAATTGCAAAACCCAGCCATACTGCACACACTGTTACCCACATCCCACACTTTAACCTCTCACATCCTGCCTCACTCATTCTGAACGTGTCATAAAAGTACACAATAACAGGTCCACTTAAAGGTTAGATATTGTCTAAGCATGTATGTTTCCTGACATCTACCATCAGACAAATTCCGGCTGTTTCAAAAGGGCATGGTATGCTACACAATTCCGTTGTTAAATGCATACTATACATGGTTTATCACAAGAATAACCTGCTTGTCTTCATTGTCGTTGTTTTCTAGCCTTTGTTCTTGCAAGATTGGGAGCTCAAGGTGCACTTTAAAATCCACGGCCAGGCAAAGAAGAATTTTAATGGGGATGGAATGGCCATCTGGTTGACAAAAGATCGCATGCAGAACGGTAGGTAGAGACTGGATCTCTAAAGGCTTCATGTCTCATACAATGAGAAGGAACCAGATGCTACAAATGATTTCATGTAATGTGAAAGGTTGGAACCCTGTAGATACTTAGAAAGCCTAGTGCTAAGAGTTGGCTCATCTTTGTGCTTAAAGAAGCCACTAAGGTGAACAGTTTTTAAACATTTTGGGAAATGTACTTCTTTGTCAACCTCACTTTGCTGTATCATAGTCAGATGATGTGATTGATACATCAGTGATACATCGTGTACAGAGTGACTTGAGAGACCAGGGCGAGACAGCATGTGTGCACTCCCAGCTTCAATGCTAACTGCTCCGAAAACTGCAATATTTAAATTCTCTGTTTCTACGTATGTTAAATACGCAAGGCTAACAAGTTTAGGTGAATCTCACAAACTCCAATTTTTTTATTCTAAAACCTGATTCAGACTGGATTATTTTTCATAGTGGTAGTGTTGCGTTTATAATATTACCTGCACTGGTCACTCAGTGATTTTAATCTTGTCCGGAGATCATATGTCTCTTATTTCTACCCCCCTACTCCCACTACTTACTGTTTTTAAGTAAAAGTATTGTCTCCCTTTAGTGTGTCAATCCAATTCCTTCTGCCAGATGTTAATCATGGCTTTAATGATAATGTCATCTAGCGCTATAACTAATGATGAGCTAACCAATGATGACGGTTACACGGTTTTCCCACCACATTTCTTTGCCAGCTCCTCTAATTTGCCCGTGGCTAAAATGCTGTCCATAGTGTTCACTTTCAGCACATGGGAGCAGGAGAAATATTCTGAAACTTACCTTTGTGAAAATGCCCTGATGTACTCACGGTTTGTTCACAGGTCCTGTGTTTGGCAACATGAACCAGTTCACTGGACTTGGAATATTTGTGGACACTTACCCTAATGCAGACAAAAACCATGACGTGAGTGGCAGTTGGTAACATCTGTTTCATGCCTGTGTTATATTGAATGGAGTATACATGAACATGTTAAAAGTGAGTAAATTCAAAAAATTCTGGTATACAATGTAAAAGTGATCTCAAAAGTGTGTCACATTTCTCTTTCTGCAACCCTCTTGAATGTGCAGAGTGCACAACCTGGAACTCAGGTAGCACCAGAAACCACTGTGTATTCATCGCCATCCCATGTTATCTCATTGCATGCATCTATTCTGATTCTGGTTCATGATTCTGCCTGCTGTCAGATTGTGATACACTGTGGTTCAGTGGATGAAGTGGTTTGTGTTAAACTCCCCTGTTCTCCTTCCAGAGGACTTTCCCGTATGTATCAGCGATGCTGGGGAACGGGACTCTGTTGTATGACCACGATTCTGATGGACGGCCCACTGAGCTCGGAGGATGTACAGCTATGGCGCGCAACGCAATCTACGACACGTTTCTCCTCGCCAGATACTCCAAAAACAGACTCACGGTATGAAACGCTCTGATTAAGATGGGATTGACACATGTTTAGACTGCTATTTGTCTTTACGATGATGCGGATGGTTTTAAATGCTGAAAGAAATAATACCTATTATATATATTATATATACCTATGAAATACATTTTAAAAAAGTTTCCAAAGATGACTCCTAGCATTAGTTTGTCCTTCATCTGTGACTCATTCTGACCCTTCCTTCGCCCCCCAGCTCATGGTGGACGTAGATGGTAAACAGGAATGGAAAGAGTGTGCTGACATCACAGGACTGCGTCTACCTAAAGGCTACTTCTTCGGCGCCTCTGCTGTCACTGGAGACCTGTCGGGTATGAGAACCTCTGTTTAATTAAATTAGGTGGCATGAAACTTTATAATTACAGAGACATTTAGAGAAATTTGGTTTCAAGCACTATAAGCAAAACAATTCCAGTAAGTTAACAGATAAGAAGCTAAATTAGCTTCACTCCCTAGATACTAAAATGGCAGATGAAACTTTGAATGGGCTCAAGAGCTTTGTGGGAATTCTTTCTTCTGTCTATTACTGACTTGTGCATGTTCCTCTAGATAACCATGACATCATCTCCATGAAGTTGTACCAGCTGACAGTACAGAGGAGTGCTGAAGAGGAGGAAGAGGAGGAGGTCACCATCCCCAGTGTTGACAATGTGGAACAGTTCCGAGGTAGTCAGAACATTAGTTCTTTATCAGAAACATATAGACACCTAGATTTAATACAGCTTAGACTCACACTGCAGGCCTCAGTGCTCAAGTCTGATCTATTGCTCACATTTTGTCTTTGGCTTTTCTCTATTTTTCAAATGTGGCCCATATCATTTTTCAGTGCAAACGAACCCACATGCACAATAATACTTCATACGATGTCACACAGCACACTGTCTTACAGAAGTAAAGATGGAGAAGCGTGTACGGTTTCATTTATAAGTGAATGACTGCTACTTCTGAACAGAGTTGGAACAAACAGACTGGTTTCGATACAACCCCTCAAATTTTTGCTCTTACAGAACCATCACCCAAAATACTTATGAGATTGAGTACCTCTTCCCAGTGAGTCTCATCAGTGCAGAACTGTGACAAATGTTGATCTAGAGTGACGTAAAAGTTGCATTCATTCTGATATGACTGGTCACACCAAGTTGAATTGCTAATAATCAGACCCGTATCTGATTTGTAGCACATATGAAAGTGACCCAAATCAGAGTAGAAAAATCCGATTCCATGTGATTTGTGCTGAACACACAGTTTTGGGCCACTTTGTCCTGCAGTGTGTAAGTCCAAATAATAAATAGATAATAATGAGATATCGGCTGTATGAACTGTGATGATAGATTTTAGGAAGAAATTAGCGTCGCCTTTTGTGCTATATATCGAAAGCAGCATTTACTCAGTAATTCTCCCCGAAACTGTAGGCTAGCAAATTGTTGGAACACTCTTTTTACATTTGAATTAAAAACCCCTTTTAAATGAGTGTCATCAGGTGACAGTGTTGCTGGGGGAGATGCTGTCTTGCGCCCTTTGTTCAATGTCTGGTTCTCTTTGCAGTGGAAATCCAGGAGGAAGAGATGAGCGGAGTCCAGTTCTTTTTCACCATCCTCTTCTCCATCCTGGGCCTAGGCGTGCTGGCAGTGGTAGGGCTGGTAGTTTACGGCCGCTGGAAGGAAAACAGACGCAAACGTTTCTATTGATCAGAGAACAATTGATCTACACAGGTTTTCAGAATGTGTGTTTCTTAATCAACATACAACACAACAATGCAAAAGACTGCCATAGCTTTACTGAACCATACAATCGAATGAACTCAATGAACAACCTCATGGGTCTGAAACCCAGAGCCTAAAGAACATAAACAGCCGAGATGAACAGGTGAGCAGATCATGAACAGGTGAGCCAGCTGTGAATTTAGTTTTGCGTTGTTTTTTAAGATAGAGGAGCTAAAACTGCTTTAGTATGATCATCTCAACCTAATGTGGAGCACGGTGCGTCTGCAACATCTGCACTAACTGACACACTGTAGATTTAACATGTTTCTGGTCTCAATGGGAAGAGACAAACAAAAGCTTCAGAAAGGATCACAGATGCTGTGTGTAGTTTACGGACATTGTGTTACAGGATTAATAGTTACCTCTTACTGCCACTTGGTGCTGCCAGCGTGCAGTTGTAATCTGACTCGTAGCTGCTGTGAAGACCAATCGACCTGTGGATCACTGTAGACTTCTTGCTGCACTGAATAAGTCAGAATGTTCTGAGCTGCCATCAGCACTCACATGGATGAATATTAGCCGTATGTAAATGTATGATTGATGACACATTGTTGCACGTTAAAAGAAGGGTTCCGAGTTAGCAGTGCTGCATGAAGTGCCTAGCTAGGACCAATAAAGACAAGCTCTTTACTTTATGTTCCAGTCCTTTCTGCAGCTGTGAACTCCCCTTTTATTTTTCCTAACTGACATCATCAAGTTACTGGCTGCAAGTCACTAACACTTCTAATAAGTGGATGTAAAGGTGGATCTAAAATAGCATTTTTCATCAGACCCCTGCTCATAGAAACATTTCATTTGTGATCCTGTTGCTGTCGACTGTTGCTCTAGCATGCACTGTGAATTAATGAATTGAATTGAATAGCCATACGCAGAATCATGTAGTCAAGTGTGAGTTTGAGTAAATTGAAGGCTTAGTATGTGAATATGAATACTGTTAGCTGTTTAGTTGTTTAACCTGGAATAAACCTGGTGCCTTGACGCTGGTGTCCAGTGGAGGCGGCGGTGTCACGTTGCGGCTGCTGGAGAAAATCCACTGCCTTTCTAGTTGGTGTGCCAGTGTCCATCAGACTGGTGACCAGTATGTCTCACATATAGCCCCTTTCTCCCCTGTCTTTGTGCTCCCAGTCTATTTTTGCTGAAGTAATTCATGTTGCTGATGCATGAAATTCACTTTTGAATTGATTTAAATGTGTATTGACATTAATATCTAAAGAGTAACTTTCCCCTACATCTACTAGGACCCCCAGCCCCCCCACACTCCGAGCTGCAATGATCAGTCAATTAGTCAATCAGTTGTCAACTATTACATTTATCTCATCTTTTTTCATAATCAATTGTTTTGAGTTTTTTTTTTTCACATGTGTAACTGATTTCAGCTTCTCTAATGTGAATATGTTTGTGTATGATTTCTTTAGTCCTTCTCTGACAATAAACTGAATATCTTTGGGTTGTGGACTAAACAAGACATTTGAGGACGTCACATTAGGCTTTTAGAAACAGTGATCAACCTTTTTCATGTTTTTATGGACCAAACAACTAATTGATTAATTGTGTAAACGGGCAACAGAGTAATTGATAATGGAAATAATGGCAGCCCTAATGCGAGTAGCAGCTAGCGTAGCTCTGAGCAGCTAGCCACAAGCAGAGGTGAGGAGTGGGTTACAGGGTTCTCGTAAGCTCATTTTCAACCTTGTAGTCTTCAGTCCCAACCAACACTGACATCACTTGAGTCAGTTGATCAGACTTCACATGAAGACACAAAAGACTTTATACAACTTCTTTCACATTATGCAGTTGTACTTCCCTGTAACACCTGTAAACGGGCTGATGAGTTTCCCCTTACCTTGATTTTCCACCCTAAAAGAAATCTGTACTTGTACTAATGACCTGCAAGTCCACTCTGCTGGTCTTCATATTTGCACTTGTATGTGAAAGAGTTATACTGTGTGCTGATGCAAACTTTACCTTAAGGCAAACCACTTATTATTACTGGCATGTTTTAAGCTAAGTTACATCGGCACGCCTCTGTCAGTGAGTGTTTTCTGTCTACAGGCCTATTGTCTGTTTTTTTTATTTTTCTCAACAAACACTGGGGAGAAAACTGTACAACGCCATCTGATGAAAAACTCTTGTCAGGTTTGCTCTGTGTTTATCTGTTGAAAAACATCAGGAGTAAACAGTAAATGGATGTTTACACAACACAATGAGCAGGTTAAAATTGAGTACCACTGCTCAGTCCATTAAATATTGAATTAACTAATGCTGTTAATTGGGAAGTCATTGCACAAACACCTTTTTGTCATGGGGAAATATTTGTAGGATCGTTAACTATTGGACATTTTCATTTAGCTGTATGGCATAATCTGTTCTCGTAGCTGCTTGAAACTATACAATCAGTAGTTGACTAAAACCGCTCTGTGGTCATATTTAGAGTTCTGTCTTTACCAGCATCCCCTGCTTCTTGAAGTTTGTAGACAATATTCCAGTGTCGTTGTCCATCCAGAAGGTTTACTGTTTCTATTTAATAATTGTCTGTCTTGGTGGGCTTTTTTTCTCTTTACTGAATGTCAAACTGTTTGTTGTAATCATTAACTTCACCATGAGCCACCATTGGAGCAAACCTCCGTGTAGTTAATTATTTCAATAAAAATGTTAAGCTAATTCTGCTTTAAATTAGCTAATGAAAGCCCTTGTCTGAAAATGTGTGAAGAACAGCATTATGTTCTCGTCATTCTCCTGTGTCTCATTTTGTTTTTCCAGCAAAAGTTTCCATGGAGGTTATTCTCATGTGGTAATGCATTTTTTTCCAGGGATTCTGCCAATAGATCCTCCTAATATTTTTCCTAACATTTCGTGTATAAAGCTGGATCTGAATGAACATTGAACATGAAGAAATGAACATTGTGGTTAATGTAATATATCAAACTAATCAACAGAATTGCACCATAGGTTAACACCAAAAAGGTCATGTTATATGTGGCATAATTTATTTCATGAACAAATGTTAAGTGCTAATTATCATGTTAGCATGCTAAGACGGATGTGACGTGAAAATAGCCATCATACCTGCTTCAGATCTGCATGTCGGCGTAGGTGAGCACTGCTTGCATTTAGCATTAGCTTTTAGCTCAAAGCCCTGTTCTGCCTGTATCGTTTCACACAGCTGCTAGCATTACTGCAGACTCTTAGTCATGTTTGTTGACAACTGACCTGTGTTCAATATATCTGTGATTAAAACATTTACTGTCACTGGTGTAGATAACATATCCACAAATATCCAGAATGAATCTAACTTTATTCTAGTCACAGACAGTGAACAATTTCACAGCAGTTCTTCGAAGGTTGTTCAAAGTCACTCTGAGAAATAGCAGCATCAATAGCAACACTTAATCACAGTCATTCTTGATTGGATATATACATGCATTAGTTAAAGAGGATCCAAGGTTGGAATTTCCCATTTAACATTCTATGTGAGTAAACATCACCACATATTACGTGTAACATTTGGTTCTATCTCTACAGAGTATTTGCTAGGTCACTTCATCAACCGGCCAAGATAAAGACAGCGTACAAACAGCTTTAGATCAATTTCCAAACATCCAAACTCATATCAGCTTTTCATGTACAAAGACCAGAGCCTTTATTTACAGTATATACCTCAATATATACAGCATTATTCAGTGGATTCATGGATTTGTTTTCAAAATGAGAGCACATTCTTCTGTTCGTCACTGGCAAATAATATACCTGTTAAATATATCAGTCAGTGATCAGAAAACTGGATCCAGTGTTTGCACCAGTATCCGTAGAGTACTTGCACACACACACACTACCATGCAAGGCACTCGCCAAACGTACAGTATTTCCCCAGTGAGGCTCACTGAAGTGTTTTTGGACAGCAATGGAGCTGTATGGCGCTGAGGAATAAGTTATATCAGGCTTTGGATACTTGTTAGTGGGATACAGTCATTGTTTGTTTTGGTCTTTTCATGTGTTTGTTCATGAAAATATAACATCATCAACACATCATGAGATGTAAATGCTAGAACCCTGATCATTGACCATCACTAAGCTTTGAACAAGACTGAAAAGATGCGGTTGTGTTGGGAGAGTTTTAATAAACTATTTTAACACCCATCTGTAAATTGTTGTCACAAACAATGAAGACATTAAAGGTCCAGTACAATATAATGTCCATCTTTATCAGCATACCAGCAGCATTCAAAACACGGAGACTTTGTAGACCACAGGCTTCAGAGCCGGTATGTCTATTTGGGCGCTCCGAACCTTCTTGTGATATTTTCGTTGGTTTCAGCAGCCTCCTTGAGTGCCTCCATCACCAGAGCGTTTCTCTTCCTCGTCTCTTCCATCCTCACCGGGTTCGATTCAGGCAGATTCTGATCACAGCAAGAGGCAAACACATGCAATGAGTTAATACATTCAACCACAGAAACAAATAAACAGAGCGGTCCAACAAGCAAACAGACCCTTCCTAAGTCCCGCCCCTTTTGGGCCCTCGGTCCACTTTCTCATTTTCTCTACTTCTATATGTGAGCTAGGCTTGTCTGCGTTGGAAATACAACCACAACATGAGACAGATCAACGGTTAAAAAAACCTACCTACCCTTTACCTACTGCAGCTTTAATTCACCCTATTTGTGTACAGTTAGTTTTCTCTATTGCTCTTTAATACATAGAATTAGTTGTTGTTGTCTTTTGCTCCAGTGTGTTGTTGCTGCTGCAGGCTGTTTGTCTTGTAATGCTCCTGTGTGTGTGTCAACGCGTTCTTTTACTCCTTCTATATTAAACTTATTTTACTAATAAAGGTAAAAAAATAAAATATCCTGCGCATGCCTGGTTCATCTGGAGCGAGCCTCATATTCCAAGGTTAACGTTTTATCTTAAGCTCTTCCTACAGGAGACAGCTTGGAGCAAACCCCGAACTAATGCCAGCTTTAAAGAACTGTGCACAGACTGGGACTACAGCACACACACACACACACACACACTGAGTTGGTTTGGTTTAAAGCACACAGCTGAAGTTACTAAGTTACCCTGACGATCTCTCTCCGCCTCTCCTCTCCCGGGACGATAATGGACCACATCCCATAGCTGAGCCCCATCACAGCGATCAGCGCAGAGGAGCTGAGGAGGGTCCGCAGGGCGCTCATCCTGCAGCACACACACACGCACACAGTGTCCGAGTCTGCTTCACTGCTGAACACAGTCGGATCGGTCCGGTCGGACACCGTTGGTTTGGTAACGTCGGACACAGCGGCAGCGGTGCACGCTGGGATATTTGCCTTCTCTCAACGTTAAATATGTTTACTGCCACCTGCTGTATCGGAGTGGGTGGAGTCAGGGCAATAAACCAGTGACAGAATATAATCCACACTGAGGCCCCTGAGCAGCTAACAGCAGGGGAAGTAGTGATTTACCACAATGTAAAATACACAACACTCCTAAACGTCCTGTGCTCACATGTTTTACCTAAGTAAAAGCCAAGAGTTCCTCAGCACACTGTTTTAGTGCAGTGCTTTAATGTGAACCATTAACTGTACCTTCTGTCCTCTACAGTGTTCAATTCCTTAAATCAGGAATCTTTTTGGATTCTTGTGGCCTAAAATACCTGATTTCATGGCAGCTTTTCTAATAAATTGCTATAGATGTTGCAATGTTTCTAGACATTTTTTTGCAATAAGACAAGAAACTTGTTCCACTGAGAATAAAATCGCTCATAGGCTGGCAACTGCGACGTTTTGGGAAACTACATATTGGTCAAATTTGTGAAAAAGGGGTAGTGACTGGACAAAATTGACAGGTCATGCAGAATTCACTGGGACTGTTTGAATTTGCATTATATGATATACAGATAACTATGTGCTAATATTCTGGCCAATGTGTGTCAGGCTTTATTTTTTGTTAATACTCCACATTTCACATTAGATTATTATTCACTACACTCACTATTGTGATCATAATGTCTCTCTGTTTGCATGCTTTTATAACAGTGTACTGGAGAATTATACAGCAGTGATCATTGGTCCTTTTTGGAGGCAGAACAAACATGACGGTGTATTGCCGCCACCCAATGTGCACTGCTGTACTGAAATACAGTGGCATCATCTTTTGGCCTCATTATACAGCAAGATAAGATAAACCTGTATTAATCTCCATAGGGGAAGTTAAGGTGTTGCAGCAGTGCAATTATACAATTAAGTACAGATAAATATAGAAAATAGTAGATAAATAACTGTACAAAAGCAATTCAGGTTGCTATTGTGGGATATTCAAGATTCAAAGAGACTTATTGCATTTGGGTGCTGTGGCACACATAGGGAAAACTTTCATATGCGGTGTGTTGACCAGAGAAATCAGGTCCAGTATTAAAAAAGAAAGGCCACACAAGGGAAGGAATATATTCGTATCTATTAAAAAATACATTTTAAATTGCACGAGACCCATTAAAAGAGGTGTATAAAATTTGCATGTAATTTTGAATTGCCACATGGTATATTGCATATTGCATAGCCGGAAGCAACATCGTTTAATATAGATATAATATATATAGTGCAAAGTTTGCATTGTAGAATGGATTGCACAGGTAATTGCACAGCCCCCGGAAGAGCCAGTAGTTGGGGTCATTTGTGTTTTGGGCCAAGAGTCTCCCACTGTGGGCAGGAAGAAGCTCTTAAAAAAGCGTGTCTGTTGTGATGATGCTGTCGCCGTCTGTGCCAGTGTAATTGTGCAGTTTTGTTTTGAGCAGGGAGTACTGGACTGTTATTGTTGTTGCTCTGATGATTCTCTCTCCTCTTTTTGACCAGCGCTGGGTAGGATTGTGTTCATGGAAGTTCGTTCTTGATAGAATCTCTCGATTCTTGTATGACTCTTTGCAGAGCATTCCTTCTCTGCTTGTGTGGTGGTTTCTCATACCAGACAGTGATGCCTGTGGTGAGGATGCTCTCTATCAGTCCTTTGTAGACCTGGGTGAGAGGGCGACAGTGCAGACCAGCTTTTCTGAGCAGCCTGATGAAATACAGTCTCTGCTGGGCTTTTTTCACTGTGGCAGCAGTGTTCAAAGTCCAGTTCAGATCTGATGTTACTTGTAGTCCCCAGTCCCCCTTGTGGGATATTGAGCTCATGTGTTCCAGCAACAAGTAAGTATTGTCCTTTAACTTCCTGTCTCTTTGTGTAGATTGATATTTGCTGCTTATGATTACCTTGCACCTACATTTTAGAAAACATCTGAACAGTTTTAGAGTTTAACATACATCATAATGGACTGACAGAGCTGATCGACAGAGGAAGACTTTTCTCTACAGCAGTGTGGCACTATAGATCGGTTCTCCTGCTCAGCTGGTCATGTTTTGTCATCTGTCATAGTTATGGTGACTGAACAGAATGTGTTGGTATTTGTGTTTTATTATGTGTTTGTAACAATATCATATAACATAAGTTGTCTGAGTGTGGTCCAAAACATGTGTTAATACAATATTTCAGACTCCATTTAGACTCACAGTAGAGACTCAGAATCAGCTTTATTGGCCAAATGCAGTATGTGTACATATACAAGGACTTGGCTCTTCTAATCTATAGTCTAGACAACAGAATCCAGTTTTTATGCACCATATCAAGAAATAATCCTGTATAGACAGTCTGGGACCATTGTCCACAAGCTTGGTAGAGTATAGGCCAGGGTCAGTTAACTATAGAATGCAGAAACACAGATTTATTCCAAAAAGAAGTTATAAGTATAGTATAAAGTAAACTGTTCAGAGGAGCGTCACACTTAAGATCTTTGAGAGAGGTAGGTCACGTGGGGCTCATGCACACAGTCTAGAAATAGACTAGAAAGCAGATGAGTACAATGGTTACATGAGCTTACAGGCAGATAGGCAGGTACAGGTTTTAGATATCAGTGTAGGGTCCAGGTTGCAGGTACAGGGTGCAGAGATCAGAGGCTCAAAAGCAACTTCACGAAACAACAAAGCAACTATAACAATCTGGCAAAGTGAGAGAAAAAATGGGCGGGTAAGTTAGGGCTCTAAATGAACTTTTACCCTCAGAACTCAATCCTGAATTTTACTTCCAACTGTCCCAGACTTATCAACCATTATCCCAAACTGAAGTTCTTTTTTTCATTCTGCATAATGAATATAGTTTAATAACTTTGTTTCAGTAACTCAGTCACTTCATTGACTCATTCTGGTCCGCCGTAGAGGTTCTGCCAGTTGTCCCCTGCACTTATATCTGAATAAAACATTGTAATCACCCAGGGTGTTTGGCCACAGTCAGTTTTCATTATTCTTTCACTCATTGGTTGAATTATTGTTTCTTGCTTATTCCTAACTGTTCGATTAATAAATCCATCTCTGCAAACTGCAGAAACAAAACTGTTTCTGACTGATAAATGGAGATTTACATAAACACACTGTGAACATAATTATTATTAGGTCAAATAATTTAGTCACGACAGGGACATTGTATGTGGAGTAAAAAAGGGAGGGTAACAAATTACCTATTTAAATATGTACACGCTCAAACAAGCTTTTTTATATATAAGCTTTAGGAAGACCATAATAAACACCTACTGACTGCCTGTGCACGGCACAAGAGGAGAGGGGGAGACTGTGGCGCTGTTGGCAGAAGAGCTATAGACTGGGATTACTGTGAGCAGCATGCATAGGCATGAATGATAAAATATTGTATTAGAATACATTTCTCGTCTTTTCCCTAATGGTCTGATTGAGTCGCTTAATTTGTCGACATCCACTTTTTAGAAATAAAGTCACTAAGATTGTCTGAAAGGTCACTAAATGTAGCCAGAAAGGCAACGCTAACAATGCACTCAAACATTGAATACAATAACTGATAACATCTTAAAACCATAGATACACTGTATCTATATATTTATATATTATAGACTGTAGGGTCTCTATGTAGTCCATGGCCATCCCTGATCATATCACTTACATTTGAAAATGAACAAACTTTACAACACAGTCATTACTACCAGCTGGTTTAAAAAAAATCAGAACCGGGATGCATACAATAGATTAT